TATATATATATATATATATATATATATATATATATATATGCCCTACCAGCACTCTCTACTTCTTTTTGTATCTAAACCAAGAACCAGAAAACAGAGGTGTTGATTCTATGTTTATGTTGAAATAAAATAGATTATTAGTGAAGTTCAAAGATACTAATTAAACCTTATGGTCTTTGTGGCATTTATTTTTAGTTGTTCAAGTTTCTTCAGGAGCTAATTATCTGTGGTTCAGAAAAATGAGGTCGTGAAGCATATAGACTTTATGAAAAAATAATTTGCCCTTTTTTTCCTAAAAGGCATGATGATATTCTGAAGTTCTTTAAGGAGTCTTAATCCAACACACTCTGAAAAAAAAAATGGCCACAAGTAGTAGCAAATATTCCCCATTACCTAGACTTTATTCAGCATTAATATTCTGTAAGTCTGTGTGCATGCTTGCATGTATATGTTTTCAGTATAATTAGTTCAATATCAAAAAGTAATATTTAGGATGTAAAACAAATTGTGCCAACTCACACATTTCATAATTTGTTACTATAAAATATTATCTGTTCTTGCTCAAAACATTGAAAATATCAGATCAAATAGGATAATAATGTTTTATATATATTAAACTGGAAGAAAATGAAGAGTATTAATAGTAATCAATTACATTTGTATTATCCTACTCCATACTAGTGGATATACTTTGGAAAACACATAGATATTGTAGAGAACAACCTTCAGCTCTAATCACTAAACTATAGTAAGTCAGTCTCTGTGCCAGCATTTTGGAAAAATCAACAGTATGTTTTATCCATGGAACATAAATTTTTAAAATATAGATTATTAGTACTACATAAGCAATCAGAATGCTGAATAATCACACTGTCCTTACACAAGATCAAAGGAAATGTAAAATTACCTTATTTTTTATTATCAGCTTTAATTTGCCTTGAGTTATTCTTAACATGTCCCTTCAAGTTTAGTAATATGAAAGAAATAAGCAAACTTACATAAAATAATCTTATTCAAAATTAATATGTAAAAATTTAAATATATAATTATGGTAAGTTAAAAGAAAAGTAAAGAAGAATAAGGTTTTTTATGGAGGTTTAATTTATGAACTTGCTAGAATTTTTATAGCAAATAATACTATACTCTAGATAAACTGATATGGCTTTATTCTGAAATAACCTACTCTAAGGTCAAATTTAAATTTTTAGATCTGAGTTTAGCTTTAGTTATTTTCTAGTATTTTCATTCTGAACAAATTTGAGGTATTGGTTAGATTATACTTTTAATTATCAATGCCTTTTATAATTAAATGTTCACTATACACAAAGAATAAGAAAACAATAGTTCTTTGTTTTTCTACCTCAGCTTTCCACTAAAATTACTTGACTAATTGTTCAATCTGGCATAGCACTCCTCATAACACCTTTTTCACCCACCAAAGAAGTCTTATGGTCCTAGAATGGTATGGGCTTGAATATCCAGCATCCCTGAAATCTGTCTTGGTTCTTCCTTCCATGTGTACTAAAACTTATAGCCAGCCCATCATAATAACTCTTTCTTCCAGACTTTCCTTCATTTGTCTAATCACTTATGGAATGGACATTTAATTTGGATTTTCTCTGAATTCTGAATTCATCCTTTAATAAAAACACTGTCTTTGACCCTTTGTGTCCTCATTTCTCTTAGGAAGGGACAACTCACTCTGTTCTTGGACTATCACAAGCTGCTGGACACCTATTTTGGAAAAATGGCTAGGATCAGTGAGGTGGTGCATGCCTGTAATCCCAGTGGCTTGGGAGGCAGAGGCAGGAGGATAGCGAGTTCAAAGCCAGCCTCAGAAAAAGCAAGTATTAAGCAACTTAGTGAGACCCTGTCTCTAAATAAAATACAAAGTAGGGCTAGGGATGTGGTTCAGTGGTTGAGTGACCCTGAATCTAATCCCTAATACCCTCCTCCCCCCAAGAAAAGACAAAAAGACACCAATCTAACTTGACACTTGTGCTGCATAAAGAGTGTATGTGGACAACAAATCTGAGATATGTGCTTTTAGATTGCTGATTTCCTATTTCTGTAATATAGATTTTCCTCCAAAGAAGAAGATTATCAGTAGTTATCTATAACCAATTACAATCTGAGGCCACCCTGGCATAAAGTAGGCTGGGACAAAATGAGTCCTGCAGGATTTAAGGACTTCAGAAGAAATCAAGTGTAAAATGAACCAACAAAAGCCTTAATCATAAAAAGTTATATTCCATACCAGTGGAATCATCCTAGGGGATTAACCAAGGTAGCCTTCTTCCTGATCTAGAAACTAGAGCTTAAATATCTAAGAATAAGAATGTTATTTTCTCTAATAAGAATATTATTATCTCTAGTTCAATGGTATTCATGTGAAAACTATTAAAGCATGCCAAATGAAAGAAAATCTTTCTGAATCAGGGTAACATTGTGAAAGAAAGCTTTAAAGAAATGAGAAAAAACATAAACTTGTGTCAGTTTAATGGGTGTAATTATGAATACCATTTCTTAGCTTTGGCCAATTTTTAACTACAAAGAGAAATGTGCCATTTGATTAATATAATTGTGTTGGCCCAGAGTAATTGTGGCAGTGTAAAAGTGTGTGTAGGTTTTGCTGCTATGTGTAATTCCACCCCATTGTAAAAAATATATATATATATATTAAATGCAACAAAGGAAGAAATATGCTTTTATTTTATATGTTTAGCATCATAGGATCCACTGGAGGGATCTGTGAGGCCCACTATTTCCTGGAAGGTGTTTAGGAGAACTGTAGTGATCGCAGTTTATTTTATGATCCTTAAAGGTATTCTGAAGTGTTCCAACACATTCACCACCTGCTTGGAGATCTAGTACACAAGCAATTCAGGGTCCTTATGAATAATGTATGTAAATCAATGAAGATTCATTTTTGTTCAGGATCATTAGTGTGTGTGTGTGTGTGTGTGTGTGTGTGTGTGTGTGTGTGTGTGCATGTGTATTAGGTTGGATAGCAAGGACCATTTGGTAAAAGGAAAATTAAGTACATATTATCTTTTACATACACCTGTGCAGATGTATACAAGCCC